AACTGAAATGCACAGTGGGAGCAACAATTTACGCACATACTGCATGAATGTGTACTGCATGCATGCTGAAATCTGTAGACAAAATCGCAAGGGTAAAAAAGCTAGGTTGAAAAAAAACTTGCCAAGACTATAAAATGTAAAATAAGCTTCGCATGACAATGTACCCAGCGGTAACAAAGCCAAAAAACAAGATCTGGAACATTTTAAGTCGAAAAAAATTAGATATCACTAAGCAGATATCAAATAGGCCGAAACAAATAAAGTCCAAAAAGGAAAATAAAAAAAGCCTCAAAAAGCTCGAATAAATTATGACTAATAGGAAGTTATTAAGCCCGCTCACCCTTAAAAGACAAATAAGGACACACCAACTTTTTTTGCTCATCGAAGCCGCAACAATAGGCCGATATAATATAGGCTTAAGCGTAACAGCCGAAAAAAGGAAAAACAAACAAAAAAAGCGACAAGAGAAAAAAACGAGTAAGCAGTTATACAATCCCTTCAACCTCCGAAAACCAAACACGCGCAAACAACTTCTTTTTCGGTCGTCAAAGACGCAAAAAGAGGCCAACAATCCAAAACAAAAAAGGCCGAATCCTATCAAGCCGAAAAAAGGAAAACAAAAAAGCCGAGAAAGAAGTCTGAAAATTTAGGACTTATAAGAAGTTACTGAGCCCCCAACGCACTCAAAACACAAACACGCACACAAAAACATTTTTCGCTCATCGATAACCGCAATATGAGTCTGATACGTCGATATAAAAGAGGTCTAAGCCTATCAAGCCGAAAAAAAACGAGAAGCAAACAAAAAAATCGAAAAAAACTCACTCATGTCAGGTTAAGAGTTTTAGTATTTTGTGCAATCCAAAGAAGAGCAAAAAATAAATGATTTTGTCGAAAAAACTCAAAACTAGGTCATTAAGCCTTTAAAAAATAGGCCGAATTCGTTGGGGAAGAATAAAGTTTACCAGCGAAAAAAAAAAACAAAAAAAATATTTACGATGTCAAAGTTAAAATTTACTAACAGCAGAGGTAAATCGCAAAAATGAGAATTTTCAAATAGCAGAGGTAAATCAGAACACTAAAAACAACAATAAAGGGCAGAAAAAATGAATGAGCTATTTAGTTGGGTGGTAAAAACCGGAAACTAAGCCGGATGGGAAAAACCGGAAACTAAAGCGGATGCTAAGCTGACAAAAAATAAAACGAAAGCGACAAAGTCGAAAAACTTTTTTAAAAAATACCAGAAAAATATAAGAAAAAATGGGATGCACAGTGGTAGTAGCAATTTACGCACATACTGCATGAATGTGTACTGCATGCATGCTGAAATATGAAGACAAAGTTGTCTACGGGTGAAAAAAGTACTCGATTGCAATGCCCTTGCTTATCGCAAGGGTAAAAAAGCTAGATTGAAAAAAAAACCAAGACTATAAAATTTAAAACAAGCATCGGAAGATAATGTAACCAGCAGTAAAAAGCCGAAAAAACTTTGTCTGCAACCCTTTAGGTCGAAAAAAAGCCAGAAGACTTCAGGTTTCTGCGAAATTCATAAATCCGCCTCAACGTCAAAACACTCAAAAATGCAATCGCTCATCAAATTAAACGATATGAGGCCACTAAGCAGATATCAATTAGGCCGAAACCAATAAAGCCCAAAAAGGAAAATAACAAAAGCCTAAAAAAGCTCGAATAAATTATGACTAATAGGAAGTTATTAAGCCCCTCGCCCTTAAAAGACAAATACGCACACACAAACTTCTTTCGCTCATCAAAAGACGCAATAATAGGCCGATATACTATAGGCTTAAGCTCAACAGCCAAAAAAAGGAAAAACAAAAAAAAAGGCGAAAAGAGAAAAAATAATAAAATTTATAAGCAGTTATACAATCTCCTCAACCTCAGAAACCCAAACACGCGCACACAACACTCTTTTCTCTCGTCAAAGACGCAATATGAGGCCAACAGGCCAAAACAATATTGGCCGAAACCTATCAAGCCGAAAAAAGGAAAACAAAAGAAAGCCGAAAAACAAGTCTGAAAATTTAGAACTTATAAGAAGTTACTGCGCCCCCTCGCACTCAAAACTCAAACACACACAAACAAAATCTCTTGCTTATCGAAATCCGCATTATGAGGCCGATAAATTAATACAAAAGAGGCCTACAACTATCAAGCCGAAAAAAAACAAGAAAGAAACAAAAAAAGTCGAAAAAAAAATGTTGCAAGGAAAAAATTGAACTATATTTTATATTAAGCTTTTTGGCATCTTGTGCAACCCAGAGGTGAGCTAAAATTAAATGATTCTGTCGAAACATCTCGAAACCATGTCACTTAATTAATAAAAAACAGGACGAACTCGTTTGGGCATATTAAAGTTTTTAAGCGGAAAAAAAAACAAAAAAAAATAAATACTATGTCAAAGTTAAAATTTACAAACAAACAGCAGAGGTAAATCAGAACACTAAAAACAACAATAAAGTGATAATATGTCAAATGAATAATTTAGTTGGATGGTAAAAACCGGAGACTAAGCCGGATGAGAAAAACCGGAAACTAAGCCGGATGGAAAAGAACCGGAAACTAAAGCGGAAACTAAGCTGAGAAAAAAAAACGGAAGCAACAAAGTCAAAACTTAAAAAAATACCAAAGAAATATAAGAAAAAACTGGGATGCACAGTCGGAGTAACAATTTACGCACATACTGAATGAATGTGTACTGCATGCATGCTGAAATATGAAGACAAAATCGCAAGGGTAAAAAAGCTAGGTTGAAAAAAAACTTGCCAAGACTATAAAATGTGAAATGACAATGTACCCAGCGGTAACAAAGCAAAAAAATATGATCTGGAACATTTTAAGTCGCAAAAAAGTAGATATCACTAAGCAGATATCAAATAGGCCGAAACCAATAAAGCCCAAAAACGAAAACAAAAAAAGCATAAAAAAACTCGAATAAATTATGACTGATAGTAAGTTACTGAGCCCGTTCGCCATTAAAAGACAAATATGCACACACAAACTTTTTTCGCTCATCGAAGCCGCATTAATACGCCGATATAATATAGGCTTAAGCTTAACAGCCAAAAAAAAGGAAAAACAAACAAAAAAAGCGACAAGAGAAAAAAAAACGTGTAAGCAGTCATACAATCCCTTCAACCTCGGAAACCCAAACACGCATACACAACACTTTTTTTGCTCGTCAAAGACGCAAAATGAGGCCAACAACCCAAAACAAAAAAGGCCAAATCCTATCAAGCCGAAAAAAGGAAAACAAAAAAAGCCGAAAAACAAGTCTGAAAATTTAGGACTTATAAGAAGTTACTGAGCCCCCATCGCACTCAAAACACAAACACGCACACAAAAACATTTTTCGCTCATCGAAACCCGCAATATGAGCCTGATACATCGATATAAAAGAGGTCTAAGTCTATCAAGCCGAGAAAAAAAAACGAGAAACAAACAAAAAACCGAAAAAAACTCATGGCAGATAACATATGATTCTGTCGAAACATATGAGCAAAAAATAAATGATTCTGTCGAAACAACTCAAAACCAGGTCATTCAGCCATTAAAAAATAGGCCGAACTCGTTGGGGAAGAAGGAAGTTTCCAAGCGGAAAAAAAAACAAAAAAATATTTACGATGTCAAAGTTAAAAATTACCAACAGCAGGGGTAAATCAAAAAAATGTGAATTTTCAAACAGCAGAGGTAAATCAGAACACTAAAAACAACAATAAAGAGCAAAAAAATCAAATGAGCTACTTAGTTGGGTGGTAAGAACCGGAAACTAAGCCGGGTGGGAAAAATCGAAAACTAAACGCGGAAACTAAAACGACAAAAAATAAAACGAAAGCGACAAAGTCGAAAGTTCAAAAAATACCAATTTAATATGAGAAAAAATTGAACTGCTAATTTAATGGAAAAACAAGAATAGGGATGCACAGTGAGATTAGAAATTTACGCACATATTGTATGCATGTGTACTGCATGCATGCTGAAATATGTAGACAAAGTTGTCTACGGGTGAAAAAAGTCTAGTACTCGATTGCTATGCCTTTGTTTATCGCAAGGGTAAAAAAGCTAGAATAAAAAAACAAGCCAAGACTATAAAATGTGAAATAAGCATCGGAAGATAATGTACCCAGCGGTAACAAAGTCGAAAAACCTTGTCTGGAACCCTTTAAGCAGAAAAAAAAAAGACAATAAGATTTCAGGTTGCTGCAAAGTTCATAAGTCCACCTCGCCCTCAAAACAGCATTTGCTCATCAAAAAAACAATATGAGGCCACTAAGCCTGTATCAATTAGGCCGAAACCTATGAAGCCCAAAAATGATCATAAAAAATCCGAAAAAAAATGTAAAAAATTTAAGACTAACAAGAAGTTATCAAGTGCCCCTCCGGCTCAAAACAAAAATATCCACACGAAAAAAATTTTCGCTCGCCGAAAGACACAATATGGTGCCAATAATATAAGCCGAAACCTATCAAGCCAAAACAAAAGAAAAAAAATCCGGAAAAATTGTTATCATGAAAATCTTGAACCATTTTTCTTTAAGGAATTTCGGCATCTTGCGAGATCCAAAGGCGAGCATAAAATCTGTTTCCGTTGAAACGACTCGAAATTAAGGCACAAAGCTGATTAAAAAAGGCCGAAACCATTTTGGCAGAAAAAAAAAGTTCTTAAACGAATGAAAAAAAATATATATATATATATACACGAAGTTAAATTTAGTATAATTACCCCACCTTAACTAAAACAAAACAAAAGTCTTTAAGTAATAAGAATTCCTTTATGTCGCAAAAAACTTGATTTGAAAAAAAAACCACATGACTTAGTAAGATGATTTGCAAATCAAAAAACTCATTTGCAGTGTCATTCTTATTATGGCTATAAATTGTCGAAAATACAGCTTTAAAAATACTGGCAAAATAATTTTCTAACACTTCTCTATTAAATTTGTTCGAAATAAAATTGATTTGTTCCAGTAACGAGAACTAGTTTATTCAAAGACAGAATTATTAAGTGAGCTCTTTTTGAACTGATATTTTTGGTAAGCACCTGTAAATTGAAATTGCGGCAGCTGAGTATAATTGGCGCCATCATAAATCTGCAAGCCTTTTTCTGTAGTCGCTGAGAAATACTTGGGCTGAAGATTTTCACTTTTGTCTTTAGACCTAGCAGGTATGAACACAAAATCATTGGCAAAATCAGTCGATTCTAAAGCTCGTAAATCAGACCTGAATCTTGAGTCTGTCACGGGAAGATTAGACTCGAAAGCACTGTTGATAAAATCATTAAGCGCTAGAGTGAAATTCGAGAAGTTGTATATATCGTAATTAATATTACTGCTTGAGCCTGCAATTTCCTGAATATCCCAATATCGACGAGGCTCAATTCCCGAACCAGATTCCATCAGAAACTCCGGATCTGATTCCAAGAATTTGTTCCATTGGCCTTGGAGCACCAATTTTGGGCTATTTGATTCGTCATAAATTGTGACCGATGTGAAGTTTGGCGGTCGTTTGTTGAGTGAGAAGTATGAATGCTTTTGGAAGTTAATGGACGCCTTGAGAGGGTCTTTGTTGCTCGATATTTCGACTGTCCCTGTCTGGTTTAGCCATAGTTGCTCCTGGACTCTGCTAGTTGTGGCTGCATTCGTCGAAACTTGAGCACCTGGCATGTTCCAAGAAAACTGGCTTCCATCTGCATGCAAACAGATGCAAACTCAATAATTCAGTGACTATGAAACTCTCCCGAAGTGGAAAAAAAATAAAAGAGATTTAGAAATTCCCTAGTTTCGAACAAATTGCGATAAATTGCCAAGTCTTGAACAAGTTGCTAAACCGAGTGGAGCGGTTCGAACAAGTACAGGTTATGTAGAGTGAAACTAAAAATATGGTGTATATTTGTTTGTTTTTGCTACTCTTTGTTCTTTCTTTCCCATTTTGAAAAGGAAATTCCAAAATCCAAACCAATAAAAAAAACGGCGAGAACAAAATCTGAGACCTTATATAAAGCAAAATATCTCACAATTTCACATCGCATTTTTGTAACCATTGATATGATGGAGTTTTTTTTATTGATTTACACAAAAGCGACGCAAAAAAAACAGCAAAAAACGGCAAGAAGTGTTATAAAATTCATGTCTTGAAAAAAAAACTGCGGGATTCAAGTCATCGCGACAACGTTACCACAAAACCATGCCTTTTAGCTAACACAGAAACTTTGGACTGAGCTTGGCAAATAAATGTCAGTCATACCTGAATTGGTAAAAGTGGCCTCGTCATTTAACACGAAAACTCTTAGCTGCACGTGTGCTAAGAAGGCCGCAGTTGATGTTTGCACATTGAGAATTTATGGGCTTAAGCATTCATTTTTCTATCCAGTAGAAACATCAGCTATGATACCTTATCTAACTAAGAAAAAATAAAATTTATTTACTACCTTTGAGGTTTAGTCTGAACAGAGAATTGTTGATGATGTTCAGCTTGTGGGGTTGCATGGTGTACTGGAGAACAGTCTCGCAACTCAGTTTCCACCCGAAGCAGTCGCTCTCGCAGAACATGAGGCTCACAGGCACTCCTTGATCGTGTACTATGCTTTCACACAGAACCCAAACACGCGATTCCTATCACGAAATGACAGCGAATTGACACAGTTTAAGTTGCAATACAGTTGCAATAACCATCACCCGCGATTCCTATTACAAGATATGAGCCAATTAAATAGCTCAATTTGTAGCAAACTACTTTTTGATCGTAACTGAGCCTGTGGAAAGCAAAACATTGGATTTAAAAAGGACGCCGAGTGATATGACCCTCTTAGCCAGGGGCGGATCTAGGATTTTCTCGAGGGGGGGGGGCGGATTTTCAAAAAAATTTCGAAAATTTTGACGACCTTTTTTTTAGGTCGACCAAATTTATTTTTCGAGCTCTCCCAAAGCACGGTTTTGTCCCAATTTTGGCCAAATTTTTTGCGCCGCAGGCAAAATTTTGAAAAAACAGGCCAAAAAAGGCGTTTTTAGGCACTTTTTGGAAAATTTTGACCGAAAAATTGCGTTTTTTTCGGCGCGCGGTGCCCCCTCAAAATTAGTATATATTGGCGCCGAAGGGGCCTTTAGAAAAATTTTAGGGTCGTTGGGCCAAAAATGGATTTCTTAAAAAGTATCAAAGGGAGGACCCTTTGGGTCGGCAGGGGGTCGAATCCCTGAGGGGGGGGGCGTCCGCACCCCCCCCCCCCTTCCCCCCTAAATCCGCCCCTGCTCTTAGCAAATCGTCATTATGGGTTGGTATAAGCAATTTGGTGAAAACATTTAGCCATGCCAAAAATCATTCTTCTTGAACTTTTGCGCGCTGTTTTAAGGCTAAGAGTTGGGAAAATATGTTTTTAGAAGCACTAATAATTAAAAAATCATTTCAAAAAATTTCATAGTAGTATACTCAAATTATGTTACAAGATACGGGGAAGACTATTTTTGGACAGAAAAAGCTCTAACTCATACTAACAGACTCCGTTTCCCAGCAGAACTCGAAAGTCTCTCCTTCTATTGGCTGGAATGGACTGGACACTCTTCCTGCTATCATGCACGACATCGACACCACAAAGGAAGACAAATGGGCCAACTGAGCAACTGGATCCCTTTCGGCTAAAGCAACTCTGTCTAACAAATATGTGCACTGCAGCTGTTCAACCATTCGCTGCAAAACACTAAGGGGTTCGTAGCAGCCGATAGGTAAATTCAGCGAAAATCTCGGCTGGTCTTTCCGGTTAGTGTTGATCGTGGTAGCTTGAGAGGATATAAATGCGAAAATGTTTTCGGCGCAAGAGCCTTGTCGGCTACCAGCACGAAGACTGGCTCGCTTGGCGAATCGATTTCTTAGTTTCGAGTAATCGTCAACAACTATTGATGGTCTCATGGGCCAGATTGGGGACGACTGAAATTAGAGAATGAATTTATTAAAGTTCGCCAGAACATTTGTAAGACACAGAGACGAAGCTGAGCTTCGCGTCACTTGCGATGCAATACTCGAAACAAAGTGGTCGAACAACCTTCAATAAAAGTCAAAAAAATTAGATCTACTCTAGAAACCAAAAACAAATTAATACAATAGAATGCAAAAATTACCATCGGAGAATTTGACAGGCGGTAAAAAAAAACCAAAAATAACGAGCCGAAAACCTTAAAGCCGAAAATTTTTTTTAAACAATTCATAAAAACTCAAAACTATAAAAAATTGTTAAGCTCACCCCCTCAAAACAGGGCAAAATGGGGCCACTTAATATGCCAAAACCTATTAAGCCGAGAGAAAAGAAAAAACAAACAAAAATGAAATTTTAACAAACCGAATTGGTAAAATTACAACCAACATGCAAAAAATATTTCGAGCACGCCATATATCTGAAATACTAACATGCTCGAAACATCTCCGTTGCAACAGAAAGCCTAGTGGATGAATGAGTCCAGGATCCAGGAGATGAGTCCTGAGCCAAAATTTCTTTACGGGAAAAAAGTCTAGTACCCGATTGCAATAACCTTGCTACCGCAAGGGTAAAAAAATTTTGACGAAAATTGTGTTGGGAAATTGTGTTTCAGTTCAACCAAAACAAAAAAACGCTGCTGCAAATAGCTTAAATTTATCAGTATGTGAGAATGGTGGAGGGTCATAATATCGATTCGCTTCCCCTTTCGACATTATTCAACCATTTCACTTTAACCAGACCGACCCTAAAACTTTTTCGAATTCTCTTACGGCAAAAATATCGACAAATTTTTAGGTCATGTTAAAGAAAATGGGTATAGAAGAAATGGAAGTTTTTGACACGTTTTGTCCAAAAAAAGCTGCAGTTATCAATTGATCAAAAAAAAGCTCCAATGAGATAAAAGTTTTAACGGTTTTGTAAAAAAAACCTACACAGAGCAAAAAATATATATCTGTATTACTCTAAGAAAAAAAAATTGTTTCATTCATTGGATTATCATGTGAAAATTTGTATGATAGAAACACAGAGAAATCTACTTTTTCAAAGCAACTGTTTAGTCTGTTCAATGAAGAAGTTTAAGCAGTATTTAAAAACTTGGAAAACAAAACTCTCCAGGTCATGATGGCATCAGTAACAAAATGATATAACGCTCTGCACCAGTGATACCAACAATTCAATATAATTCCTTCAGTAATTGTATAATCAGTGATGTTTGTCCCAATTGTGCACAAATTTCAAATTTTTTCCTTAGAAAAAGCTTAGAAAAGATTATTTTCAAAAGGTTGACAAAATTAATTGACAAAAATTGATTTTCATCGGAAAAACAATTCGGTTTTAGAAAAAAGCGCTCTACCTGCTATACTGAAGGCAAAGAGTTAACGACGGATGCAATAGATAATAAAAACTATGGACATGCTTGCTTTTATATTTGAGAAAAACCTTTCACATTAAAATCGCAACATAACTGAGGGAAAGATGGAGGAATATGGTTTTAGAGGTATTACTTAAAATTGGAACCATATATGACCAATAGATTAAAATTACTTCATTTACAAAAGCACCAGCAAATTGTAATTTCTCAACATGTGGCGTACCGCAAGTTTCTGTTCCAGGACATTTTGCTTTCTCTGTACATAAACAACCTTCCTGCTTAATTGCAGCAAACCAAATCCTACCTTTTCGCCGATGACTTAATTTATTTGAGCTCTGAAAAAAGTCCACAGAAAATTGGAACATTTTCTGGTGATATTTTGCTTGTAAATAACTGGCGCAATGACAACAAACTAGTAATTAATACCTCGAAATGTCTGTTAGCAAATTTTGGCAGAGAAAAACTACGCTTCCGATGATATATTTTATCGACTTAAACTCCAGTGAGCGCTAATTTCAAGAATGGAGTTTGTGTACAAGACACATGTTCATTATGTTTGTAACAAATTAATGGTGTTATTTTCAGAGGCCGATCTGTTTTTCCGAGTAAAAGCTCCTTCAATTGTTACAATGTATTTGCCAAACAGCTCCAAGTTATGGAATTTTAGTTTACGGTGGCTGATCTAACCTCCAAAAATTTTTGTTGATGCAAAATAGACTAGTGAAAACAATTTTTTTTAAAATTCCGATATGACATTAATTGAAAAATGGTGGTGAAATATCATATTAAAACTATTTTTGATTTATTTTTTTATCAGTTGCGTAATAAGACCATGGATCAAAATAGAAATCAATCGCCCCTCAAAGGTTTTTCTTTGGATTCTCAAACTAGACCACTTACTCGCGGTTAATGCAAAATAAGGCTTAACTTGCCTATCATTCAAGCGAATACCAAAAAGAGATCATTTGAGGTGACTACCTTAAATTTGAAAAAAAAGTCCTAGCCTTAAGAAACTTTTACCAGACAATTTGACAGAAAAAACTGAAGTGAACATAGGGTTTTGCGTTCAAGATAAGCGTTAGTTATTTTTAAAAAATATAATGGATTTAATCTTTTACAATCACGTGCACTATATTACTCCAATCCTTAAAAACAATTTCTAGCACGGTTTTTCAGGGCTCCTTTTAAAAAGCTGTAAAGCTCAATACAAGACTGCTCGTATCAGGGCCAAGCCCTGATTGTTCCGACTGCCTTTTAAGGCCTGTGGAGCACTAATAATATGGAAAATTCAAGTGTAATAAAACAAAATTAAAAATAGAACTTTTTTTTTAAAAGTTGAGACTTTTTCTGAAAATCATCCCCTCACACGCAATAAAAAGTACAAAAAATGATAAATTTCGCTCCTAGTAACAAATCAATTATGGCATTTAAGCTTCCTTCAACCAATTTGGAACGATTTCTAAGACGGATTAAATCTCCGCTTACGCGTAAATAGCATGAAATACATCGCGCTTTAATTGTCCCAAATTGGCAATCTTTAAACCCCATAACTTCACGAAAAATGATCCCACGTAAAATCTTGTTTCAAATTGTAGCTTAACCCAACAATAGCTTTCGAATGATTCAAAAAATTCCATCAAAAATGGCCAGTTAAAAAGTCGAAATTTGTCTGAAGAAAAAACCCACCCCGAGCACAAATATTCCTTTACTTTCTTTACGAAAGTCGAGAAGAATTACTTTCGTTATGAGTTCTTGATGTGAACAATGAGTTCTTGATGTGTTCAGCTAATTGAAATAATAGTAATGTAAACATTCTGTTTGTTCTAACATATCTACATTAATTCACGTTTAAGTTCAAGTTCAATTTGCTCGAACTAAAAAAAATCTACGAAAGCGATCAAAAATTGTTCGAGAATACGCCCCGTAATGAAGACCCTGGACTCGCGCCTGTTCAATCCAAAATAAACATTGGCGTGAAAAATTTTAAGCTGGTCTATTCAGGGGCCAGGATGTTGAATTGATCTACCTGATTTTGGGCGGAAACAAAACCTCGGCCGCATCCCAAGTAGCTTTTTTCTGTGGCAAGAAAAAAAGCTGAATGAGACGTTGCTCACATAGTGTATCATTCAAATAAATCTCCAGCTGTTATATAAAAAGAGGGGGGCACACTAACCGGTGTTGATGACGTCACAGTGTCCCGGCGTTGTTGGTGCTCCCGTGGTAGTTGGAATGAGTCGTCCTCTGAGTTTGTGCTCCTCTGCATGTTTCGCTCATGCATGTTGGCCACGAGTTTGGCACAGGCCACATTGCTAATAGAAGCCTCATTCGACACTCGCAACAGGTGCGAATAATCACTAAAAAGTAGACGTTTACTTTGGTTCTCACCTTAGCTATTTTACATCCAATTGTGGTGTACTGGCCCCAAAACGTTTCTTGAAGCGCCAATACATACTAGATTTGAAAAGAGAATGAGTCAAAAAACGTAGTTTTTTATCAGAATCTTTCAAAAGTTTTTGTTCCTGTCAAATTGCACTTCAAATTTTCGATAGAGCCCGCGTTGGTTTAACTCAACTGTTACAAATACAAATATTACGGAACACGAGTTGGAAAAGAGGCATATTGGCTATAACGAAAAAAAAACTTAAAGAACGAACTTTTCGATAGCAGCTCCAGATGATATGAACGAAATACACTGCATTGCCAACTCCTTGAAACTTTGCTCAGTCTTGTACATCTCTTTCGCCAAAACAGCCGCAGAGTTTTTGCCATCAGTCACTTCCACTAGTTTTGTCCCGTCAATTTCGAAAAGAGCATTCAAACTTGAAAAGAACTCCACTTTATTCGTCTTTATTCCAATACAAATATAATAGTTGGGTCTATAAAAGGCGAGGTTAGAAGTAAGTCTCAAAATCAGGGGGAAAAATACCCCCCCCCCCTCCCCCTATTGTTCTTGGAAATTCGACGTCCTCATTTTCTAAGAATTGGACACCTTTGACGACCCAATACACGCAAATTTTCGCAAATAAGGGTCTGTGTACAATTTCAGAAGAACACGGTTTCAAATTTATCATCTGACCTGTTTTGGCCGACTAAAATATACTAATTTTGAGGGGGGAGCGATTTTTTGGTCATAATTTTTCAAAAAGTGCCTAAAAACAGCTTTTTTTTTTGGATTTTTTCAAAATTAAACCGTGCTTAGGGAGAGCTCGAAAAATCAATTCGGCCGACTTTAAAAAAAGGTCGACAAAATTTTCGAAAAATTTCAAACTTTTTTTGAAAATCCGCCCCCCCCCCCCCCCCCCCCTCGAGAAAATCCTAGATCCGCCCCTGGAATCAATATAACTTATTGGACCCAACTATCATACTTCTACCTGTAATTCAAACAGCTGATTTTGTAAGGACACAATTAACGAGCGTAAGTTATCGGCTTTCAGAGGGGGTTCGGGTCGTGGTGAGTCGTCGCTGCTGCTCTCGTCTTGAAAGGAGGCTGATGAATTTGGTGTCGTGAGAGAAAGAAACGGCTTGCCAGTAGACTTTTGTGCGTTGAATAGAGCGTCTACCCATTGCTGATATGACGGAACCTCTTTTGCCTGTTTTGGAGATTATTAGTAATGAAAAAAGGTTAAATAAACTAGAGCAAAAAAGTTCTAACAAATTAAAATGAATAGCAAAACTACGCCTGGAAAAACATGTTTTGAAAAAACAATAACAAACAATTCCCAGCCCAAGTTCCTGATTAATAGTCAAATGTCTTCTTTAGATGGCCGTTTGCCTGCCTTTATCATAATTACAAAAACAAATTCCAACCAAATCAGCAGAAATAGCTCTTTCAATTTAAAATCGACTAATTGAAACGAAAGCGAACAGAAAAGTCTAGTCAGAATATCAACGCAAAAAACGGCCAATTAGATTATTGATAAAAACTGTTTTTGTATTACAATGCAACCGTTGGCTGAGTCAAAAACACTTAGAACTGGCAGGGGCGGATTTAGGGGGGGGGGGCGAGGGGGCGGACGCCCTTCCCCCCCCCCCCCGCCCCCTCAGGGATTCGACCCTCTGCCGACCCAAAGGGTCCCCCCCTTTGATACTTTTTCAGAAATCCATTTTTGGCCGACCGACCCTAAAATTTTTCTAAAGGCGCCTTTGGCGCCTATATATACTAACTTTGAGGGGGAGCGCGCGCCAAAAAAAAACGCAATTTTTTTGTCAACATTTTTCCAAAAAATTGCCCAAAAACGGCTTTTTTGACTGTTTTTTCAAAAATTTGCCTGCGGCGCAGAAATTTAGCCAAAGTAGGGGCAAAACAGCAGTGCTTTGGGAGAGCTCGAAAAATCAATTTGGTCGACCTAAAAAAAAAAAAAAGGTCGTCAAAATTTTGGAAAACTTTTTGAAAATCCGCCCCCCCTCGAGAAAATCCTAGATCCGCCCCTGAGAACTGGCAAGGACCGAAGTTAAGACGATACACAAGGGAAAAGACCAACATACGAACTGTTCAGCTCTTCACGGAGACTCACGGTTGTGCCCGTTTAAAAAATTAAAACAATTTTTTGGCCTTTTCCCTAATAATCAATTATCTGGCAATTTTATTTTCACAGAAGCAAAGCTTCGCATGACTTGCGATACAGCACAAACCTAAAAAACATGAAAGTCCAAAAAATAAATGTTGAAAAAAAGGTCTACCAAAATTTTCGAATGTCTCGATATAAGTTTATTTTCAATATAGTTTAACATTTCAGTATGAAATTAGCAATGGAACAAAAATTAGGAAGCGGAAATAAATTAGGGCATTAGTTGAGCAGAAAAAAAAGATTTTCTCAAAAATTTTTCAAGTAACCCTCTGAAACTACAAAGAACAGAACTGGCAACTATGAAATAACTGCTTACATCAAAAGAAAAATCCGTGATAATGCAACTAAACCGACAAAACTTGAGCAGACAAACAAAAGTCTGACATAGCAATTTTTACCGAAAAAAACTCCAATTTCGAACACAATGAAAAAAACAAGGTTCGGCCGGGACTCGAACCCAAGAATCTAGGGTGCAAAGTCGACCACTTTACCTCCAGGCCAAGTGGGAACGATCCTGCAAACTGATCTGATTCAATAACAAAAATGTCTCCAGTTACTGGAGACAACACTCACAAAGAGCGTGAACCTAAAACGCAAACATAGAAAAGCAGCTCCTTTCTTTTACAACGGTTTTCAAATCTTCAAAAAGGCGTTAATACAATTATTGACATAGATACTGATATCAGGGGCGGATTTAGGGGGGGGGGGCGGACGCCCCCCCCCCCTCCCTCGGGGATTCGACCCCCTGCCGACCCAAAAGGTCCCCCTTTGATACTTTTTCAGAAATCCATTTTTGGCCGACCGACCCTAAAATTTTTCTAAAGGCGCCTTCGGCACCAATATATACTAACTTTGAGGGGGAGCGCGCGCCAAAAAAAACGCAATTTTATTGCCAAAATTTTTCAAAAAGTGCCCAAAAACGGCTTTTTTGACTGAAAACGGCTTTTTTTCAAAAATTTGCCGGCGGCGCAGAAAAATTAGCCAAAATAGGGCCAAAACAGTGCTTTGTGAGAGCTCGAAAAATTAATTTGGTCGACCTAAAAAAAGATCGTCAAAATTTTCGCATTTTTTTGAAAATCCCCCCCCCCCCCCCCCCCCCCGAGAAAATCCTAGATCCGCCCCTGACTGATATCCTTTTAGAATGAGTCTAACTTAACTTTACACGAACTAAAAAATGTCTCTGGCAAAATGTCGGCTAATGAAAAATTTCTTCGGGACTTCTGCTTAATGTCTCTGAAACTTCCACTACTGATTTTGTGTCTATGATTTTTTACATTTTACGTTCAAAAATTTTCAGTTATAATGGGGTAAACGCACGAGCTAAAATTCACCGCGAAAACCTTTAAGAAAATGATATCAGTATCAAAGAAATTATATGTCTTCTTGCAAAGGTTTCTGACTCTGGAACAAGTTGGAATGACTCACTCCTACCGTCCCTACTACGGAAAAACTACCTCTAGATTGTGTCTTTATGCCTTGTTTATTGCTCATCATACTATATGCTCTTAATTATCGTGGTCTCGTCAGGTGTTTTGGATCCTCAACTTCTTACGAGAGTTAACTGAAATTATCAGCAGCCTTAACAGTAATTTATTTTCAACTGTTGCGTGACTACAGGTTCTGTTAAGTTTTGCGGTGGCAAGAACTTCATCAAGTGCAAAGATGTGTTTCAAGTTTTAACTGCTCATAGATCTCTTCGCAGTGAATGTGTCACAAAGCTGAGGTCAAGAGTACAAAGAACCGATTACGCGACACATCCTATTCCATGCGCGTCTCAAAACTGATAATTTATCTATACGATAAACTCGGCGCTGAACTTATTCCTCCTAATGAAGAGTCTATTCAACTGGTAGCGGAATACTCAAAGAATTGCACTATCAAGAAATTCGCTTTACAGAACCCCTGTTTTTGGACTATATGGTGCTATTAGACGCTCTGTGTTTGCTAATTTGTTTTTAAATGTTTTTTGTTTGAATGCTTTTTAATCCTTTAAAGGTAATTAGGTCTATTACTACTACTACTAAGAAAAACAAGCAAGACTTGTAAAAAAAGTCGTTTACGGGAAAAACAAGTCTAGTTTCGGATTACGAAATACTTGCTCTCACAAGTGTAATTACTTCGGTATTGATCAATTATCTAGCAGTTTTACTTTCGAAGCGTAGTTCAACGGAGGAATCGGAGAAATTCAAAAATATACAGTCAAAAATCTCAAAAACGCTCTTATTTTGTGTCAAGGATTTGGAATATAATTCCATTTTATTAATTTATAATCTACTTTAACCTTTGATTTCATATTCTATACATACGAGGACGGAAATAAAACAAACATATCACGAATCAATGTTTCCTCCATATAATCAAAATACACTAATATTTTCTCTCAATGACCCTAACAAAATATAGTTTTTACTCTTTTTTCTCCATATAATCCCAAAAACTTGTTTACTAGTCACTATCGCGTTCAATTTTTTTTGTGTTTTGCTAAATTTGTGCGATTTTATTTAAAGCTTAAAGAGTTCACAGAGGCAAAGCTGAGCTTCGCACCACGTGCGATACAAAATAAAGCACCGAAATCAAAAGATAATTTTCAAGCGAAAATTGAAGTTGAAAGAAAATCGCAGAAATTGAAGGCTATTAAGTCAAGAAAAATCACACTGCAATTATTTCAGAAATCAATTACCTGAAACAAAAGAAGGATTCGGGCTGAAATCCATCCATTTCTGTCTCATCACCAATTAGATGGAAACGATAAGATAAAATTCAGTTAAAAAATTGAGATGCAAAAAATCCTAAATGTATTCAAAAACGGTTCATTAACTTTTGCAACCAAACAACCTGCATCTGCAACAAAAACAATCGGGGATAAAAGGGCATATGCGCTATTTGCTATAGCTTAAGATCAAAATCAAAGAACAAAAATTGAAAAACAAAATTTCAAAAAAATTAGCAAAAATTGCCCAAAAAAAGAATATGAAGAAAATCTGAAAAATTCTGAAAGCCTAAAAACAACCCAATTACATCATTTAAGTCAAAGTTGAAATTCATACGCAACGGTGAGAGAGCTAGCAGGATCACAACAACATAACAAACAAGAAAAAGATGCCGGCAAGCGAAATAAAAAACACAAGTTTATTGTTTTATGAAAAACCTCAACCATATTCCACACCCCTGGATCTCGTGCAACACTTGCCGTCAAATTCTTTTGTATCGAAAACAATTGAGTCAAATTGCAAAACAAAATCTGGAATTTTATCAACTTTTTTTTCAAAGTTTTTTTGACATTTTAAAATAATACGCTGAACCATTAACTAGCAACGATTCCAAATGAAACAGCCCAAACCTAACACAAACTGAACTAATTAAAACTAAAAATACTGCCACACACTTTAGGAGCAAAAAACATCAGAAAGCAAACATGAAAAAAAACTGCAAAAAATTCTCTGTGAGTCTGACACGTGTCAGTCAATTTCAAAAAACTTTTTCCAGCAGAAAATTTTAGCACGAAAAAAATTAGAAGACTATGAACTACAGTTACCCTCATGAAAATGAAGAAAAAAGTAATCAAAAAAAGTAGAAAAAAGTTTAGGAAGAATAATACCCGGCAATAAAGCTTACAAAAATTTGGAGGAAATCAAAAAAAGCCGACAAAAAAATCAATTTGTCAAAAAATTGTTTAGCTATAAAATAAGAATAATTTCAACAGCTCTATACCAGTTGAACTACAGCTAGTAGACGCGAAACTTGGGTAGAGCTTAAAATGCAGATGACCAAATTTCAGTCATCCTGCGAACAAAGTTGTTTACGGGAAAAAATCTAGTACCCGATTGCAATACCCTTGCCTATCGCTAAGGTATTAATTTATTCTTTTCAAATCTTTTATAGAAAACGCTAGTTGACTCAAAAGAAAATTTTTTAGAGAAACAATAAACGAATACTCATTTAAAAGGACTTTTGATCATCTTAACTATAATAAAACGTGTCAGCCTGACCAAGGAAATGTTTTATGCATGCAAATCGCCGTTTGAACAAATTTCAAAAACATTTTTATGTTCTCATGGTACGAGGGGGTGGTAAACTAGAAAAGAGCAGGAAGGAATATATGGAAAAATGATTCTCTGGGAGTCTCATTGTATTTCTATTGCGACATTAAAAAAATTTGTTCGGATTGAAATGCGCTATAGACTCGAAACAAGACTAATCGCATCAGGGCGAAGCCCTGAATGTTCCCCAACTACCTTTCAAGGTTTAAGGAGCAGTAATAATATTTAAAAAAATCAAATGTAATCAAAACAAAATGAAAATTATTTTCTCAAAACATTTCAAATTTTTTGTAAAAATCATCCCCCACACGCCATATAGAGTACAAAAGGATAGCTTTCGCTCCTTGTAACAAATCAAATATGGCAAATAAGCTTCTTTCAACCAATTTGGAACGATTTCTAAGACGGATTAAATCTCCGCTTACGCGTTAATAGCGCGAAATATATCGAGCCTTAATTGTCCCAAAATGGCCAAAATGGCACTCTTCAAACCCCCCATAACTTACGAAAAATAATCACAGGTGAAATATCTTTTAAAATTCAAGCTAAGGTCAACAATATCTTTTGAATGATGAAAAAAATTCCGTCAAAAATGGCTAGTTAAAAAGTCGAAATTTGTCTGAAGAAAAAAATCAAATGTTCAAATATTCTGTTACTTTCATTACGAAAGTCGGAACAATAAGTCGATTTTAAATCTATTAATTCTAGAAATCTTTCCTAGATTGTTTGTTTCTACGTGATAGATTATCAACAATTAACCTACTTTAATCTGCAAAAGCTCGGAGCGAGTAGCCATTTACACTCATAATAAAACAATTTTTCAGGTCCAACAGGATTCTGGGATTAAGAAATCTGACTTTGAAAAGTTGAGCGAACTCAAAAACAAAAGACTTCTCAAATATTTTGGCAAAAATCTAACAGCAACATTTTGTTGTTACTAAATATGAGGACTCCAAATCAACAAAACAGTGCTCTCACATTAATTAGTCTGCTTGAAAGAAAAAAAATACCACTAAAAATTACATAACTTTTAGAGGTGGTAAAAATGGGAACAACTTTTTTAAATTCAGGTTTATGAAAAGCGATATAAGTCAGCACAATCTTTTCATTTCAAATTAAAAGCCTTGCTACTGCCCTACAGGACAGATAAACTCGTCAGATGTACCCCTCTGAAGAACTTGACCCCACTTGTTGCCGAAAGGGTTACCACTTTGACATTATTTTAAACGCCTTGCCGCCAATTTATACAAATTTTAACGAGGAGCGCGAGCCGAAAAAACGCAATTCTCTGGTGAAATCATTCCAAAAGCTGCTCAAATATTCATTTTCGGTCTTAAGAATCGGAAAAAATATATTAAGATACTTTCAAATTTCGAAGAAAAAAAAAGTTGTCTATAAAGCTTTTTAAATTTCAAGAAAAATTTATGATATAGATTTGAACTAAAGACAAATTTTTCATTCCGTTGGGGTACGTGAAAATTAAACCCACTTTCGAAGCTAGAGGTCGATCACGTTTTTTGTGACCTTTACTTTTTTGTTGTTCAATAGCGGAATTTTATTTCCTTTCAAGAAAAAGTAACGTGCTGAACTAAAAAGAAATAAAAAACCAAACCGCGAAAAAGCAAATTTAAGCCTGAACAAATTTTATAACTTTTTCCTGAAGCAACAAGAAAATTTTGCAATAAGGAGCAATAAGGATCTTGCTATTTTAGAATCTTCATTACGTTCATCGATTCTTAAAATGTTGCTTGCGGCGCAGATATTTATGGCAAAACTTTATAGTTGAGTATCATCATTTTCCCAAATAAAAATTCGAGCCATACAATCGTGCTATGATGGGTCTAGGGCAAACATCAGATATGCCAAGTACGAGCTATGTCAAACATCCGAACTTATACTAGAGAATTGCGTAATAATTGTGGTGGTCAATTATTTTGGCCAATGCAGCACCTTTCAAGAGAAAAATAGAAATCGGATCTTTTCCCTACTTTTTTTTTAAATATCGGATGTTTGCTTTTTGGATGTTTGACAAAACGGATGATTTCACGGAACCCTGCTATGGTATTTAAGGTGATGCATCAACGCGACATTTAAATTCATGAGTCTCAGAACATGCACACAAGTATTGCTTAAAATAAATTGTTCTTCAGTGCAAATGAGCTCAGTGATTGACTATAACTTCGAGTAGAAATTTATATCTTACTTTCAATATCAGAGATTTTTTCTTCCCGAGAGAAATCGTTAAGACGTTGCTGTGACTGGAATTCGAAGCGTGTGGCTTGCTTTTCGTTTTAATAACCGCTTTTGCTACACAGATGCTGCCCCGACACAACAAGGGAAGCTCCGATTTAGTTTTCGCATAATACAAGTAGCCGTCTTGAAGCTTGAAATAACGACTGCGGAATCCGTGTATGACGTTGGTGTATTTATCGAGATATCCTTCCATGTTTTATACGAATAACTTGGTTTTTTAGTACATAATTTACAGAAAAATTAGATTTATCAAGCAAAAATTTGGATCGCGAAAGTTATTTGAGACAATAGACATCATGATGCACTCCTTTTGATGGCTTTGAGTTTGCTCATAAAACAATAAATTTAAATAAAAGCTGTAACGAATTTGAGTAGCATGGGGGCAAGGTTGGTTTGGCTTACTTGCCTTAAATCAAACAATGACGATAGTATGTCAAATCAGTCGAACTCCGCCAAACAGTGCGATTATTAGGTTCATGAAGGAGCTTCAATCAAGTAAAGATACAATGCAACTGAAGGTCTGACTGAGGACTAAGTTTGAAACCGAAAATCAGAATTCGATTAAGCCATAATTGCGCTGGTCAGAAAATCAGAAAACTTACTTGCAGCATATTGAAAACCCAGCGCTGGTCTGATTACTCAATTATTTAAATGAATTTATATTAACATAACGGAAACCCAAGGGCGAGTTTGGTCTGGGAGAGGGGTGGAGTTGGAGTCTTTTTCTAGTAATTTCCCTCGCCGCACCAATTTTTTCCCAAGGGCACCAACATGTGTGCCAATAGTTTCGCGGAGCAAAGTTTTTCAATTTGCCAAAAAATACACATTCTGGGCGGACTCGAACCACTGCTGGTGAGCCAAACATCAACTTTACGCCGCCCTTCAATTTGTTGAAGCAATTATTTGAACTTGTTCTGGCTATAAAGCACCTAGTGGTAGCTGGAGATTACGAGCTAATTTCAGGTAATCATAGTAAGTTGACATAGCACGTGAGAAGAGATTTCTACACAACCTAATTTTATAATCAAAATCATTCTAAAATTATTAAAGGGCAATCACAACATTCAAGGCTTCGCCCTGAGACGCGCTGTCCAGTCAAAATTAGTTATTTAATAATAGTTTTAATATCATTTAAAGTCGGTTATACTAGGACGAGTATTGAGTTGAATCAAAAACAGCTAAAAAACATTAAACAGTAGAAGTTAGTTGCTTTAGTTATTTAAGTTATCTCGTGAAAAAAGGTTTTTCAATGTCGTTTAATTCGATTATATTTCTTTAGATTTATGAGCCATCGAGTATTTGAGGAGGGATGATATAACTAGTTTTCGGCCGACTTTATTAGTTACCCTCAGTTGGAAAAGAACTTTTTTGCCCTTGCAGCGACTCGTGTTACTAGCTGCATTTTTACTTCTACGAACTCTCTTTTTCTCCGTCCATGCAGAAAAAGAGAGTTCGTAGAAGTAAAAATGCAGCTAGTAACACGAGTCGCTGCAAGGGCAAAAAAGTTTATAGTAACACATCATTTTATGCCCATACCAATCAAATATTCAATCATTAGATTTTAATCGGATTCAGCTAATGGAGTTCCGTTGAATGAATGTTGCATAGATAAATGAGTGAAAGGTCCACATTTGATTTCCTGCTCTTAGCATGCAAAGCTCCATGTCTTCCATTTTGATTATTTTTTTTTCATCTCCCGGAGAAACTTATTTACGCGGTTACTGTTCTTACTTATAAATAATGATCTCCTCAAGATGGAAACAAAAAAATCAAAAAGTAGTCGCTTCAAGTTAGTGAAGCTCTGCGATCTCCTAATTGAACTTATTCAATGCACTGTTCTCATTTCCTAAGTATCTGCGCTAAAAATTAATCTAGCCGCAGACCAGATCCACGCAAACCGGGTTGTACAGATATGCCGGATTCTTATACAATTGAAAAAAGTTGTCCATTAAAAAAAAATCTACTTCCCGATTACAAGATTAAGACAACTGCTCTAGCAAGTGTTAAATTAAAATATTCAGCTTTTTCAGCGATAGAAAACATTGAATTTACGATATGAAAATTATATAGAAAAAATAGACGTCTTCAAAAGTTTACCGCTGAAACAAAATTTCTGAATCAGTTACTAAGCTGACAAAACCTCAGGTAGATGATTCCCATTGAGCCAAAAAAATTTTGTCAAAAACCATAACTGAAACATAAACGAAAAAATACTATCGCTCTTCAAGCAATGCAATATGAAGGGACAAACGATATAAGAGTAGCCGAAACCGTTCAAGCTGAACAAAACTTAACCAAAAAAAAGACAAATAATAGTATTGACAAATAAAACAGGATTGTTTTTTCTTTGATCTCCTGGAGAGACTTATTTATGCGGCTACTACTCTCACTTATAAATAATGATCTCCTCGAGATGGAAACCAAAAAAAAAATCAAATAGTCTTCGCGTCAAGTTAGTGAAGCCTTGCAATCTCCTGATTGAACTTACTGAATGCCTTATTCAATGCTTGATTGAACTTATCTCATCTCCTGATTGAAATTACTCAATGCACTATTCAGAGCACTAAGTATCCTCGCTAAAAATCATTCTAACCGCAGACCAGATCCTGGAGATGGAAACCAAAAAAAAAATCAAATAGTCTTCGCGTCAAGCTAGTGAAGCCTAGCAATCTCCTGATTGAACTTACTCATTGCCTTATTCAATGCTTGATTGAACTTATCTGATCTCCTGATTGAACTTACTCAATGCACTATTCAATGCAGTAAGTATCCCCGCTAAAAATCATTCTAACAGCAGACCAAATCCACTCTTTTCTAACTATACGCAAACTGGATATCTAATTACAGCCAACCGGGTTCACCAAAGATGCTTGTCAGGCGACATTCATATACAGAAAAATAATTATCAAAATATGTATAGAAAGTCATCTCACAGATATGACGGACTCTTATGCATTTGAAAAAAAAGTTGTTAAATTGAAAAAATTATAGTTAACGATTACAAGATTAAGACAATGCAGGACTGAACGGGGCAAAACCGTTCAAGCTGAACAAAACTTGACCAAAAAAAAGACAAATAATAGTATTGACAAATAAAACAGGATTGTTTTTTTTCATCTCCTGGAGAAACTTATTTATGCGGCTACTACTCTCACTTATAAATAATGATCTCCTCGAGATGGAAACCAAAAAAAATCAAATAGTCTTCGCGTCAAGTTAGTGAAGCCTTGCAATCTCCTGATTGAACTTACTGAATGCCTTATTCAATGCTTGATTGAATTTATCTCAGCTCTTGATTGAACTTACTCAATGCACTATTCAGTGCACTAAGTATCCTCGCTAAAAATCATTCTAACCGCAGACAGGTCCTGGAGATGGAAACCAAAAAAAAACAAATAGTCTTCGCGTCAAGCTAGTGAAGCCTAGCAATCTCCTGATTGAACTTACTCAATGCCTTATTCAATGCTTGATTGAACTTATCTGATCTCCTGGTTGAACTTACTCAATGCACTATTCAATGCAGTAAGTATACCCGCTAAAAAAACATTCTAACCGCAGACCAAATCCACTCATTTCTAACTATACGCAAACTGGATATCTAATTACAGCCAACCGGGTTCACCAAAGATGCTTGTCAGGCGACATTCATATACAGAAAAATAATTATCAAAATATGTATAGAAAGTCATCTCACAGATATGACGGACTCTTATGCATTTGAAAAAAAAGTTGTTAAATTGAAAAAATTATAGTTAACGATTACAAGATTAAGACACTTACTCTAGCAGGTGTAAAAATCAAATTAATACACTTTTTCAGTGATGGAAAACATTGAATTAATGATGAACATTTGAAAAGATGACTCCAAAATTTTCATACTTGCGGCTCGAAAAAAAAATAGAAAAAATAGACGTCATCAATAATTTACCGGTTATTAAGCTGATAAAACTTCGGGTAGATGCCCGTTGAGACAAAAAAACTTTGTCATGATTCAATAACTACAGCAGACACGTGAATGAAAAATTTTTAGTTGCCCTTCAAGCAACGCAAAATGAAGGGACAAACGATATAAGATTGGGCAAAACCGTTCAAGCTGAACAAAACTTTAAGCAAAAAAAAACAAATAAAATAGTATTTTTTCACGCAAAGTTACGAACCTAAAAAAATGCTGGCAGGGCATCAAGTCCTTTCACCCGTTATGCGTTTGTACAAAAACGTTTATAAAAATTAACTTTGTAGCTAAAACATGTCTTTTTTCCAACATTTTTTATTTTTCAGCCAAAGATAACGTATCAGATGTATTGCTAGAACGGTATTGCGAAGAGTATTGCCATTGTTACAATAATTTCTGCAACTCAACAAAAAGTTTCTTTCTAATTTCAACCGTTTTTCATTAATTACCGTGGTCGGCAGATTCTGTGCTCCTTGGACAGCAATCCACTCTGTTTGTCTTTCAAACATATTTATTAGAAGTGAAAATGAAAATAAAAATGGAGGGCTACATCAAACGCGTGAAACACTTTGTACTTGTCGAAGTGAAAGAAAAAATTAGAAGCCTATTCTATTAGAGCTAGCGAAAAAGGTAAACTCAGCTATGAAAATTCACCATAAAGTACCAACGAACGATAAACTGGATACAGGTCCTGCAGTAAGCTACAAAATGAGCATGGACACAGAAGCGAAGCAGAACTTCGAACTAATTGCGACACTGATAAAAATCGCATGGCAAGCTAGTCAACAGAAAAATCGAACACAAGCAAGCCACTTACTCGCAAAGAATGTTCGGTAAAAATATCTAGGTATCTCGAAACTAGGTATCTCGAAAATTTCATACAAAAAATGGTGAGAAAGGCAATTGCAAGCTGCAAACAAGCAAAGAAACAAAGTTTAACACAGAGTTTCGCACCACTTGCGATAACAAAAACGAATGACCATGATTAAAGTCAAATAAAAAGAAAAGTCAAAAAACCTTCAAATAACCTTTATCGTAAAAAATTTCTTCAATAATTTGCAAAAACAGCCCAAAACAACAGGAACCAATTAATTGCATCCATATAAACATTTACAAGGAGCTTCCGAAAAGCGACATTAAAATAATCTTTTCAAAAAAAATTCTGCGGGAATTAAGCCAAGAAAACTGAGCAGATGGACAATGCTTTAAAATAGCCAAAAAATTTCCTTTTGCAAAAACAAAACTGATCCCGAATGGAATCGAACACCCGGTCGCTGTCGTCTCAAGCATGGGTAATACGTCAACCTGGAAGAAAGCTGAACCTTGACAATCAATTTAGACTACGGGAACTAAGCAGACGAAAACAAACAAACAAACTCTAGTTTGCAAAAACAAAAGGTCCCGTCAAGATAAG